CCCATTTTCTACGTACATTTCATTTTTTGTGAGTACAAACTTATTAGACTCAAACACTAATTTAAACCCATTTTTGCTCAGCAACGATTTAGAAACTAGGTTTATTCGAACATCTGGTACATGCAGCACAACTTTGAGAGTGAGTTCTTTGCCTGACGTCATCTTGAGCACGACGTCACCTTGTTGCTCAACTTTGGAAGTCGAAGAATTCCTCATGTAGAGTTGTTCTCCATCTTCTGCTGCATGATATGATGAGAACATCTTTTTCTTGGGAGAAATGTAGTGCCTATGTCTACCCACCATGCCTTGGGGTTGTCCGCTAAATTAACTTTAGACACCACGCCAGATACATTCAGGCGTGAAACCAATGCACAAAGACTCTTTTCTTTAGTTAGGTTGGCTTGAGTGAGTTTCTTTTTGTAGTTCTCTTGAGTCCACCTCTTGCGATAGTCCTTGGCATGATTATCCTAGTTTGTGACGCACAAAGTATTTGCCATTAAAGTTCTAACTATGTCCACTTTTAGCACCTTGCTTAGAGCTCTCTCCGGGATGCTTCCTTTTCTTATTGTTGAACTTTGGCTTCTGTTCCACAATGTTTGCCTTTGATTCCATAAGACAATGTCCAATTTTCTTTTCAGAACCACTGTTATCCTCTTCAATATGCAAGTGAACAATCAAATCCCCTGACATCTTTTTGCATTTGTATTTTAAATAGTTTTTGAAATCCCTCAAAGTCAATGGTAATTTTTTAATAATAACCGCCACTTAAAAAGATTTGCGTAGAAACATTCCTTTTGCATGAATTTCATGCAGGATAAGTTAAAGTTCTTAAACTTGATTGATCACCATTTTGGAATCCGTCATCTTAAAATCAATGAAGTGTCATGACCCAAACCCACCCCTATAGGTTTAGCATCATAATCGGCCAGTAATCTTGGGATTACTGAAGGCCTCTGAACAGATTAGTAAAATTAAGGGTCTAGCGGAAGCAATTGTTTAAATTCAATGTCCATAGAGCTGTATAGACGTACATGGGACAAAAAATTTCAAACTTATATTTACGTATATGATGTTAACTTATATACAGATAAATCAAAATGGGCCTTAGCCAAATACACGGACAGTACATAAATTTGTTTAGACAAAACAAAAGAAAACAAAAGAAAACAAAAGTCTTAAACATGGTTCACCAAACTTGACCACTTCTGAATTTGGGAACTTCCTCAGGAGGCACGGTGGTTGGTTGACCAAAATAGAACTCCAAGCAGCAGCTTAGGCCTAGTCACGTGCCTGATCACTTACCTACATACATAATACAGTGAGTTAGAGCTCAGTGAATAACAATAGGGTAAAAGGTTTATGAATGATGTCCAAAACATGTTCAGAAATCAGAGTTCATATTAGAAACAGATTCAGATTGACATACTTATACAAATTTCATAAACAGTTATATGTGGTACATCCATTAGCTAATAGATCAGAATGGTCATAAAGACCCACGTGCATAGTCGGTACTGACAACATAAAGGTCAACATCTTTGTGTATATATAGCCATGGTGTTATTAACCCCAAGCAAGGGCCACGCGAACACAGGCCTCAGTATTGTTACCCCTGGGAAAAGGCTACATGAACATAGACCACGATATTGTTACCCCTGGGCAAGGGCGACATAAACATTAGCCTCGGTATTATTTCCCCCAGGCAAGGGCCACGTGAACTAAGGATGCCACAAATATATTTCAGCAAAATGGATATTCATTCATGTTTCATAAAATAGTATTTCAGAAAATAGATGATATCATTTCAGTCAGAAACTACTTATAATCAAAAATAACTTTATGGAGTTGTTACTCACAGATAGCTCTAGAAGCTGAACAACACACTTGGACAGAATAGACTGATCAAGTGAACGATAACGCAAGACCTACACAAACACATGACAGATACACTTAAACACACGTCCCAAAGGTGCTTAACTTATCATTTTTCTTTTTTGATGTGTTTCTATCTCTTATCTTCATTATTGTAGCCTAAACATGGCCTAGGAATGCCTTATATGCAATGAGGATGCAAAATTACACTTTGGAACACTTAGCTAAATTTTAAAAAACAAGGCAGTTTGCTTGAGCGAAGCTTTGGTCGCTCAAGCGGTTTGCAAAGTTTATAAAAGTACTGGATGCTCGATTTTCAAGCTTGACGGTCGCTCGACAGTCGCTCAAGCCAAGTATTGAGAGAAATGATGGTGACTTGAGCGCACATTCGGTCGCTCGGTGCAATTGTCTACAAAACTACTAAGAGCTTGAATTTTACGCTTGAGCCAACTTTTGGTCGCTCGAGCCAAGGTTCAAAACAATGGGTGGTCACTTGAGCGAACTCGAGTGAAGATGCAGAATCTGGAATTTTCAAATTTCAGTTCCAAGTTCAAAATCCATTTCCAATGCACAAAATCATATTCTTTTGGGCCAAAACTTGGGAAAGCACTTGTAAACTCATAAAACTTCATGAATTGAAAGCTATTTAGCAAAATGAAAGCCCAAAAGCATGTGAATTGTCCAAAACCAAACTTGAAATGCATATATATATAACATGCATGTAATGATTTAAATTCAAAGCTTCCAAAACATGCATAAATGAAGTGTTTTTGGGTAAAAACATGGTGAGCTCCCAAGAGATAGCAAATATATGCACTTGCATGTAAGAATTAAGTGAAAATGAAACTCATAATCCATGAATTGTGCATGCATGCATGGAATGATCCTCATTTCTACTTCCTAAGCCCCATTCTTTAGGTCATTCTTCTAATTCTCTTGAGTTCTTGCACTAAGTGACTTATTCATAATTTAAGAGTTGAATTACCTACCTTAAGTCTTTAATTGGGCTCTATGTAGCAAATCCCTTGAGTTTCCAAGCCAATTCTTCCAAATTCCTTCTAATCTCACCAAGTCTTCCTCAATTCCCTCTTGTTTGATCTCTCTCTCTCTCCCTCCACGTTTTTGAGTTCAAATAGATGAAAAAAGTGTGTGTGTATGTGTCCTAGCACTCACATTAGCCTTATATAGGCTTGATTAGCATTAGGCTAATTATGTATAATTAGTTCTAATTATTTGATTCCGAATTAAATTTCAATTAGACTTACCATAAAATTCTAAAAAATCTAAATAACACATATACATAGTCAATTTCATGTTTAGATGCCGATAAGGACTTTAATTTGCATACTGAAATAGAATTTTAGATAGATATTCCTACCATAGACAGATATAAATACAAATAGCACATAACACATGCAATTAACTTAGGATTTCATCTTAATTACTTGTTAGGAATTCTTAATCAAGGATTATAGGCTAATCATAGGTCGAGGTTGTTATAGGAAATGATCAACAACAAATTTCTTTATTCCTGCATCTTTTGTTTTATACTTGCGATCAAGCGAATCCCACAACGCTTTTGTGGTCTTGATTGGACTATACACATTGTATAATGTGTTATCCAATTCGTTGAGGATATAGTTTCGGCAGAGGAAGTCTGCATATTTCCATGCATCCACCTTTGCAACAACTTGTCAATTACTTTCATTCTCACTAAGAGATGGAGTATTTTCTCGCAAAAACCTTGCCAAAATTCAAGGTGGTCAGATAAAATAACATTTTTTTGTTGCCAACATTTAAAGTCTGTACCACTGAACATGACCATGTCTAACAACCGTAGGGATGGAAGCAACTGGTGTAGCCACAACGGGTGTAGGGGCAGTACTTCCCAGTGTAACAGTACTTTCTGGAGCCATTTCTGATTAACCTTTTTTTTTTTATGTTGAGCAAAAAATTCCACAATATATATATATAAATATAAAAATAAATTTATACATACAGTAACCTCAATAGTACCAAAATAATAAAATAAGTGTCCAAATAATCTAGTATAATAGAGATTATTAGGACAACAATAAACAAAGTTCTACTGCAATAAGAATTTGGGTAAACCAAATTTTTTTTTCCCCCTTAGTAAACCTAGAAAACAGATATTGTAGAAAATCCCAGAACTAGTACAAAAAATTTTACCCAAAAAGAGTTATAGTCAAATATAGATTCGGGTAAAATTTAGTAAATGAATGTGTAAGAAAATTAACAGTACCGTATATAAAAGAACCATAGTTCTACTATGTTTTTATACAGAAAAATGATTTTGCTAAAATTAATTTTTAACCGAAAAATAAACACTGCATTACAGGTTATACAGAAACTGTGAAACAGTATAGGAAATTCTATCTTACAATTGTTAGAGATAATTTTAGTAAAAAATTAGGGAGTGTTTAGCACATTATCCTATTTGGTCACAATTATCTTATTTGGGTCACATCACCTCTCTACCGCATTACTTTAAACCCAACTCATATTTCATGTTTTTTCGTAAAAAATAAAAAAATATATTTACTTAGATCACCCAAATACCCCCTTAATTTAAGCAAATAATATATAATATAAAATAAACAACAAAATTAAACCTTACAGTACTTCTGCGGATTGTTTATGAGCAAGTTAATGATTGAGATTAGTGCTTGAATATTGCGTCTTTAAGACAGAATTTCGTCATCTCTAATGGTGCTTGAGAACAATGGATGTCCTATCTCCAAAATACGACAATTATCACAAACGAAGAGAGCCCACTCTTTGATTGTATAGCAAACCAAAACTATGTTTTGCATTCATAAAATTCAGATTCATACAGATGAAGTATACAAGAAAATAATGCTTGAACTTGATAAATTTGGAATGAAGAAAATTGAAATGGGAATTACCTTTAGACTTGTTGGCACCTTTTGAACAGGAAAGGCATAAAGAAGAGACATGACCCTTGAGTTGAGTCACACCCTTTAAAATGAAAAGACAACATAAATAATTGTATAATTTTATTCAAATGGAGTCCATTTCCATTTACTTTCAAATTTTTTCCAACACATTCCTTATCTAATAATACAAACACAAACACATCACATACATAGGCAACAAACTAGATATTCAATTATATAAGAAAATTTAACAACACGATATCGGAAGTATACAACAAAGTACAAAATCATGTCTTCCTCTAAGCTGGTAAATCACTTATTGTGCTGAATCTTAGTAGATGAAATTTTTGCTTATTACACGAAGGCATGGTTAACTAATACAATACTATCGAACAAGCCAATAGAGCTAACATGATTGACTTGTATGCAACAGAGGTGGCCATTTTTCCGCTGTCCTCTCGAAAGAAGAGTCCTTGATATACCGGCAGGTTGATCACAACAATGAGACCACATAAAACAAGCTGCAACGCCAGTGCTTCCAAAACATTAATTTGCACATCTATAACCATCCTAATCAAGCCCCAAACAAAACTGAATAGGTTGAGCATTGCAAGCGTGGTGAAAATGGTAAACATTGGTGATGATGGTGTACCAAACTCCATGACCTCTCTCAGATATCGTTCATGAACCTCCTCATCAGCCACCTTTGCGGTTACTACAAATCCCAACTTGGAAAAACCTAATTGCCTCAATATGGTTTCAAAGAAGGCAAAGAAATAAGAGGTTGTCCTTTTAAACATCCACATCCTTTGGTCATTCCACCAACCTTGAAGTGTACCGCCACAATAAAGAAACTCAACTAAGCTATATGCATTTGTGGCAATGATGACATATGCGAAAGGAATGACCCACAAGCTTGATATCTGATGAGAAAAGAATATTGTTTTATTCTTAATTAGCAATAAACTTAAATTTCTGACAATATATCGATAACTTGATGGCAACATACCATAGAATTTATAAAAGTTTAGTTTTGATTTAGCTTAACAGAAAAACTATGCTAGTAATTTGAAATTGAAATTTGTTGATCAGACACAAAAACTCTCTATTTGGTTTATAGAAAAAAATTGTGGATGAGTTGACGATACCTTTGGAAACAAGGGGATGCCTCTAAGGAAAAAAAGGGTTGGGACAATAACATAGTAGAGTGTAGGCAAACAATTTGGAGCCCAAAGCATGTAGGGAGTGAATGACATTTGAAGCTTAAGGGGAATCCTTCCATGCCCATAAATTAAGGGGCAGTACTTTGAGAGAAGTAGCTGAAAATTAGCTTCAGACCATCTCTTCTGCTGTATGAGTGCCTGCAACAGTGTTGTGGGAGCAACTCCTAGGAACCCTTTCTTTTCTGGATTGAAATATATGGATTTCCAACCTCTACATTGTATTGACAACCCCGTCACAATATCTTCTCCCGGAAATCCATACTTCACACCCATCTGCAACCATACCACACCAAATGTATCAGGAGGGATTTCGGGGGGAGGGAGGTGTTGGCATTAGTTTTTTTTGGTAACCTTTTGACTTTAGAATCTAAAAAAACTGATGTGTTTGGAAATTCCTGAAGTTAATTTTTTTTTTTTAAACTGAAAATTAGCCTTTTTAGTTGATTCCAAATTACGGGATCAACTAAAAAGCTTCTTTTTGAGAGAGAGAGAGAGAGAGAGAGAGAGAGAGAGAGAGAGAGAGAGAGAGGGTACCTCGTTACCCCATTGAGTGTTTTCTTCAAAGGTACTACTTGCAAAAATCTTGCATATTTCTTGTAATTCAGTTGCATTTTGTTTCTCCTTTTTAATATGGTCTTCTTTCTTCCATTCAACTCTACATTCTTTGCTATACTTTAACCCGCATAAAGTGTCCCTTCTATGAAAGCACCCACTACCAATATACAAAGGCCCTCCATTGGCATCCATGGTTGCTAATTCCACCTTAATTTGTAACAATTTCACAAATATATAAAAATCATTACTACAATGTCTTCCATGTGATCTAGTGAAAATTCTCAGTATCCCATTCCCTCATTAATGCATACCTTTTGAATTACCTCGAAGGAGTTGCCATAGAGATCGTTCCTTGTCATGTTATTGAACCATTGCGGATACTGTACATAAGCAATCTCATTGCCTTTCTTTTCATCCATGAAAAAACATACAGCATCTCTCACTGATTCTGAATTGTTTGAGTACATGTCGCAATCCACAGTAAGAATTATCCAACCATTGCTTATCTTTGATGAGACCCTTATCTGTGTGTTTTTTTTTTTTTTTGATCGGCAAAAGGAATTTTTTTTTTATTGATGTAAAGTAAATGAGTACAAGATAAATAACTTGCATCAAAATCTCAATTTCAGTTAAAAAATGAATTTGATTAACACTTTATGTTTTGAGATACGTTTACCTTTCAGAAAGAGAACAAATAGAGTCATTATCTAAACAAATGCATTGAGAAAGGGAAGAAGTATATAACATTTCAACGAGATAGTGACTTTTCAATTCTCTCAAAATAGAATCTTTTCCAAACATATATGCTATATAGTCTACAAATATCTATATTTGGTATTTTTAGATACTTTTTAGACCTATTATCGATACTGAGTAATTAAAAAAAAATTGTATCAATTTTTCATGATATATTATGTATGGATCAGACATATCATGGAGAATTTTTTAGAAAAAAAAATGGTACATTACAAGAACATCAATAAAAGGCCTTAATGGTGTGGATTTGAAGTATTTTAACTAGTGTATAAGCTTATGCTCGTGTTGTAATCATCTATGTTTCGTTTCTTCTTCTTCTTCTTTATAAAAAGAAAAAAAAAAAAATTATTTTTTAGATTAATGAATGTGATTGGAGCTTAGTATAAACATTAATTGGTATCTTGAATGAGTAATGAACTTGCTTAGGTGTGGTGTAATGTTCAAGTGTTTGAGGGGATACAACAGAGCTTACCAGTGCATTCATGGCCCCAGCTTTAAAATGGTGGTGATATTGGGGTCTCTTCTCTCGTGATAGGTACACCAATGTTGGCAATTGACCTTCAATTTCCACACCCTTGGTCTCTCTTCCATCTATTAGTATCTGTATCAAAGTTGTAAGTAGAAGAAAAAATTTATAAAAAAATTACAAAGAAAAAAAGAAAAGATAGGAAAAGAAAAGCAAAGAAAAGAAATATTAACACTACTTTTCGATATTTAGAAGAGAAAAGGAAAAAAAAATTATTTGTTAAGTGAGGAGAAAAGAAAAGAAGATAAAAATTATGATTTATCTCCCTCTTGTTTGGTTAAGTTGAAAAAAAAAAAAAATGGTGATTTTTCTCCAATTTTGTTTGGATAGACTACATAAAAGAAAAAAAAATTATTATATGTTATATTATCAAAATAACTTATTAGGCTTTTATTTCCTTAGAACTTAGGTGGAGAATTTTAGTGTCATATAAAATTAATAATCATCCCATTGCTTTTTCCCTCTCAATTTCTTCAATTTTAAGAGATTCAAAAAATGGGTTATAAGATAAATTAATTTTTCTCAATTTCTTTTTCATTTCTCCTCATTTCTATCCTTTTTAGTAATCCAATCTCTTCAAATCACTCAATACAAACGGATTGTAAATTATTGGACTAAATCTAGTTTATCCTCTTGTAATTTTCACTATTTGCACTTCACCTCTTGTGATTCAATATTAAGTAGAGAGCTCCCTTGAAATTTTGATATTTTAGCACTTTGCTTCATTTTAAAGAATTCATTCAAACTATCGAAAATTGGTCAACACGTGCTTTTCAACAAAATCAAGAGTCAAATTTCAATCAAAATGATAAAACATCCTTTCGTCAATTCTAACAAATATATATTTAGTAATTAGTATACTTTAGTTAATTATACACATTATTATAAAAATTAAATTACAAATTAGTTTAGCATTTTACTTAAATTTAAGTTTTATTTAATTGATATTTGATCAAGTTCAGAATTAGGTGAAAATTTAGCAAAGAAAGAGTATTAATTGAAGAGAGAATGTAAATAGGAGTAGAAAAAAATGGATAGGTTGGTCATTTTAATGTCTATGTTAATGGTGTTAACATTGCATTTTAGTTTAAAATCAAAAAGAACTCTTTGTCTACTATTGAAGTACATATGGTCAAAATCAAAGAATGTAAAGTGAATTTTTTTCTAAATTATTTTTAGAATGATAAGATATAAATTAGGAAAGAGAGAGAAATGAAATAAATAAACTTACTTGGAGGATGACCGGGTGATCATGCCGGGATGAAACCAAGTCCCATTCACAAAATCCTTTATGCTCTTTGCGTATATCTACTGGAATTTGGCCTATTTTTGTGATTCTTTCTATCCGACTCCTCATATCTTCGTATAAAGTCTACAACCCAAAATAAATAAATAAATAAATAAAAAATATCTTTATCAAATACAGAACAATTACAGAGAATATAAATAGCATAGTCAGCATCACTCTTAAAATAATTAGAGTAGGGTAACTAATTAAAAAAAATGAGCATCATTCAATGAGTATTAATCTTTATTTTTTCTATTTTCATGTGACTAAGCTCGATTATGGACTATTCTTTTGTATGAGCACATGCCGTGGAACATCAATTAAGTGATAAATTAAGTGAAAATAATTGATGGTAGAGTTACGAATATATATAATACAATTATCTCTTGAGAAAAATACCATATGCCATTGGTTTTATTACCACTATGTATTAGTGTCTATTATTTGTTCATAATAATAAATGGTTGGTTAATTAAAAAATAATTAATAAAAAAAGACAATTATAATAATATTTTTTTTTTCGTTAGCTGGTGATATAAAAATTAAAAAATAATAATGTCATGATAATTATATTTATGTATCTAATTTTGTTTGTCATGTGATGTGCCACTATTATAATGTAATAAATATGTGGTGATATTGACCCAAACAAATGGAATGATAACATATGAGGTGCTTAAAGGAAGAAAAAATATATAATTTGCACATCGTAATAAAGTTATGGCTTTTTGTGGTTAAAGTTACAAAATGTTTATACTATGGCTTATGTCAATTTGTGGTAAAACTTACATTTTTTTTTGAGCAAAAAAATTATATCATTTTACAATTTAAGTTACAAATTTTTGTGATGTAACTATAAAGGGCATACCGTATTTATATATTCACATAATGGCATATCTCTAAATAAAATATAGTATAAAAATATAATTATCATAATATTATTGGATAAAAGTTTCACAATACTATTTAATTAAGAGCAATGCTACACTTACTGAGAGAGAGATTTATAATCTGGAAAGCCGTGGTAGAAGTCGAACAGAAGATGGCCGAGCATGTTTGGGCCGAGCTAACTTGGGCCTATTTAGAGGTGGTTTTGCTCGGTCGAGGTCCAGGACCAAGTTGGGGCCGAGCTACTTGGGCTTTGTTTGCATCCAGAATCGGTCTTGATTGGCCGAGGGTCAAGCCCCGTGTATGGGCCGAGCTTACTCGGCCGAGTTGGTCACCTGCCAACCCGGGTTCCACGGTTCGCACGTTTAGCTCGGCGGAAAGGCATTCTGTTTGCTGGCTCGACCTGTCTAGAACTCTGCTCTACCAGAATACTACTGAGCTCGGTTGTTATGGAGCTCGGCGAGTGGACACTGGGACTCGTTGTGCAGCCCGGTCGTGTGAAGCCGAGTTGATGCCGCCGGGCTACCGAGTTCCCGGTAATGTTGTCTGGCGGTTTGGTTAGGTGGTGTTCGCTGGATTTGTGCTGACAAATGGGAGAGCAGCTCTACGTGTCAAGAGACCAATGGGTGCAGAGTTGAGCGCATAAAGTATATAATCATGACTGCGCCCCCATGCTGGGGATGGAACATCAGTTGGTGAGATAGACTTACATTCATTGAGTTTCTCTCTTTCTCTCTCTCTCTGTGAGTGTGTGCTAACTTGACCGTCGGAGGGGTTTCCGGCAACACGCTGCTGGGTAGCTCACCGCCGTTGTGCTTTCAGGTTGATCGGATAGACATGGAGCTTGGACGAAAGGAGTATGGACAGTGACGAATATTTGCTCCCCGTACAACTGGCGCCGTTTGTGGGAAAAGGGATAGACAAAACCTTGTCTTCCAAGCTCATCTGATCGCCTTCCATGGCGAACAACGACGAAATACTGTTGTCTGCCATCGACGGTGTTACCCCGGAGTCAGCCAGACAGAGAGATGGACTCCTCGCCGTTCCAAACATGGCGGACCTGGAGACTTCCCCAGGTGGACATTCAAGAGACGCGCGTGATAAGCGCGCAAGAAGTTTTGGTCACTCGCGGAGCCTAGATGGACACCGACGGCGAAGAGAATCGCACGCTAGATGTCTGGAGCACAAGTTAAGGGACCAAGAAGCCATCATCCGGAGAATGGCGGCGGAGATGAAAGCTCTCAAACGGCATGTTAAAGGGAAGGATGTTTTTGGAGTGGGAGACCACAGTGAGAACAACCAACCACGCCGTTCAGGCAGTCAGAGCCAGCGGCACACTCCCTCCCTTTCTATCACCAGAAGTTACAGGGTTGGAGATTTCGACGCGCTTGTAGAGAAATCTAGTGCGCAAGATAGTACCTATCAACCCTCACGTCCGGCGACAACGTCGAGATATTCCTACTCTGTTCGCTCAGAGGATTTACAGGTAGTCTTGAAGGAGCGGGCTCGCTGGCTAGAGACTCAAAGGGTGCTGGCGCTCCAGCGGCTATCTTACGGGGGTCACGCCAGTGAAGAGGTCATAATGCCACCACCCCGCCTAGTCGTGCCTCTCCTTCTAGACACAGATTTGGCGAGGCTGAACGCCACCCCCTTCTTCCTTGAGATAGAAACCACACCGCTCCCCGCGGGCTTTCACCAGCCCAAGTTTACGCTCTACGACGGAAAGACCGATCCATACATGCATGTAAGCCACTTCCGGCAGGTCATGGCCGGACATAGGCGCAATGGCGCTCTTGTGTGCCTTATCTTCCCGTCAAGTTTGGGTGAGCTGGGCTTGAAATGGTTTGAGAGGCTGCCGGAGGGAAGCATCGAAAGGTGGTAGCAGTTGGCGGAAGCCTTTGTGACTCGTTTCAAGACCAACACTAAAACGCCAAAGGAGGTGGACCACCTTCTCAGTGTCAAAATGGAGTCGAGTGACACACTTAAGGCATACAACTCCAGATACTGGGAAACCTTTAATGAGATTTTAGATTGCCCGATCAACCTGGCAATCACCCAATATAAGCGTGGTCTCCCAGTCGGACATAGGCTGCGAAACTCGCTTACCATGAACCAGCCGACATCCATGGGCCAACTAATGCAGCGCATTAATGAGCACATCCGAGTCGAGGATGATGCGACGGCGTCCACCGCGAAGACAACTCCGGTGGTAACAGACAAGAGGTCGGCTGGCAAGGTACACGTGGTTGGGCAGGAGACTAGCCGTCCAAATGATCGCGCCGAGGAATCTGACCGTGGGTCAAATCATCAAAACCGGGGAAGGGGTCGTCGGAATGACCGAGCTGAATACCCTCGCGATGATGTAGCTGATGCTAACAGAAGGTTGAAAGCTCGGACAAGCATCACCATAGTCTTTAAGATTCCAATCTATCGCATACTTAGTGAAATCCGTGACGAGGATTACGGTCGGTTTCCTGCTAAGTTAGGCGACGTGCAAAAGAGTTTTAATCCGCGATACTGCTGCACATATCACCGGGAGCGAGGACACCGAACAGAGGACTGTTTGCCTCTGAAGCAACACTTGGAGGAGTTAGTCGCAGCCGGACACCTAGATCTTTACATTGATGGGGGTGTTAAGGCTGCGCATCCCGCCTCGGCTGATCCGCATGGACCAGATGACTTGGAGACACCCCCTCAAGGAGTAGTTAATGTGATCCACGGCATAGTGGAGTCGGCGCGTGTATGCGAGCTTCGAGGAATGATCAAAAAGACGGAACACATGAGGGAAGTTTTGTCAGTCTAGCCCGCGATCAAAAGTGGGAAGACCGAGGAAAAATACATGATTAGTTTCTCCACAAGGGACCTAGAGCGTATTCAAACGCCACACAACGATGCCCTAGTGGTCACCCTTCGCGTCAAAGACTTCGATGTCAAACGTATCTTGATTGACTAGGGAAGCTCGGTTGAAATTATGTACTACGACGCGTTCAAACAACTCAAACTCCGAGATATAGACTTAGCTCCGGCAACTTCGCCATTGGTAGGTTTCAACTCGCAACTGGAGTGGCCTTTGGGAAAAATAATTTTACCGATCAAAGCTGGATCCGTGGTCAAGCAGGTGGAGTTCTGGGTATTGCAGGTGCTGTCTACATACAATCTCATCTTCGGTAGGGGCTGGCTTCATGCTATGCAGGCTGTAGCGTCGAGCTACCACCAAGTTATGAGATTCCCCTCGGCTATGGGGGAAATTGAGAAAATTTGGGGCGATCAAGTCATGTCGAAGCAATGCTTCGTGGCAGTGAACGGGAGCCGAGCTACCAAAGGATTCGTGCAAATGATTGAAGGCCCGGAAGACCAGAGTGTCCTTGATGACATGGGTACCAGGGCCGAGGACAAAGCTGTTGAAGAATTGGTAGAAGTACGGATTGACACGGAAAGTCCAAACAAGTTCTTTTTGCTCAGATCAAGACTGAGATGGTAGAGTTCTTGATGGCAAATATCGAAGTCTTCGCATGGTCGCCCTACGACATGCCTGGCATCAATCCAAGTTTTATTTGCCACCAACTCAATGTTTTCCCTGATGCACGGCCAGTCATTTAGAGAACAAGGAGATTGGCTCTTTATCACGCCGAGGTAGTCGCAGAAGAGGTAAGGAACTTGCTTGAAGCACGGGCTATTCAGGAAGTGCATTACCCTCGATGGATTTCAAACACGGTCGTAGTACCCAAGAAGAATGGGAAGTGGCGAGTTTGCGTTGACTACAAGACCGTCAACCGAGCTTGCCCTAAAGACAGCTTTTCTCTGCCCAGAATAGACCAGCTGGTGGATTTAACGGCGGGACATGAAAGGCTCAGTTTCTTGGATGCCTACCGTGGTTATCATCAGATTGCCATGCATGGCCCTGACCGCGAGATAACCTCTTTCACTACCCCAAGGGGACTATTCTGCTATCGAGTCATGCCTTTTGGTTTGAAGAACGCCGGAGCGACTTTCCAAAGGATGGTGACCAAGATGTTTGCTCCTCTGCTTGGCCAGATGATGACATGGTGGTCAAGAGCAAGCAACAGGCTGACCACTTATCCGACTTAGCCGAGATGTTCATTATTCTTAAACAGCACAAGCTACACCTGAATGCGTCAAAGTGTGCCTTCCGCGTGGGATCTGGGAAATTCCTGGGCTTTCTAGTCACAAACCGA